GGGTTTCCGTCAACCTTATGTTCTACTTGAAACCGAATTGCACGAAATTAGCGAACATCACAAACGAGAGATTCAGCCAGGTTCCAGATGAGTCTCTCGCAAAACCGAATTAGTTTCCAAATGAGTGTATTTCGCTGTCTGAATTCAGTTTGCACTGTTGCTCGAAGGGGACTGGCATGTACGCCTGTCACATTCGAGAGTATTGGTGGTTGTGTCTTGCTTCACACCGAATGGTCTCAGGGCTTGTTCAAGAACCTGAAGTACATTTGACCGTGCGGTGGTTTTTCGAAATAGCGATTTCTACACTTCTTTACGTGAATTCGTGCTTAAACCTGAGCACATCGATCCGTTCTGGTGTGCTCAATAAGGAGATGCTTCTCACCTGGTCATGGTACTTTGTTTCTGATCTGTTGAGTATGTTGGAATGGCGTGAAACTATGCTAGCTTGTTTGTTCAGGATTGGCAGATAACTCAGTACAAACACTAGAAAAGGTCGCCAAGCTTATCTGGAAATCACCTCTAAGCGACTAGGGCTGTCCCTGTCTGCGGAGCTCACCTTTCATTAATCTCCTTTGTTAAAGTTTAGACTCCTAAAAGAACCGCCTGTCAGTTCAATTTTGGGTGCATATTATATCATGTCTCTGGAGGGATCAATAAACCGGGACGCCTAACCAGGTCTCCCTGCTTTCCTAATTGTATCTATTTCAAAAGTTTCGCAGATTCATCTTGTGTAACAAACTAGCCGACTAGTTCTTCCCCACACACTCATGAAGCAGCGGTGCAACCGGCCGTTCCTAATCATCATTGCCATTGAGAATAAAAGATTTAGAGAACACACACTGAGGCCCAGATGCTTTGAAACCATGTCAGACTGTTCAAATAAAACCCCGTAACAGGATAGAAAACACTCGTTCAGCTCCCCTTCCCTTTCGTTGCCTAACTGCCATGCCACCCGAAGGTTGCACGAGGGCTGGGATACTGCCAGGTTGCCCAACCCTAGACAGGGAAAGTCGATAGGCAGAGGTCGGGTTCGAACCACGGACCTTCCGATCAATAAATTCGCGCTCTAACCACTTGGGTCATCTCGCCCCAAGGATAGAAACAGAGAACTGCCAATCCATGCTCCAAGTGCCTCAATTTCCAAACAATCCAAAGAGAAACTGACATCCTGAACACTTTTTACATCGGTCTGGCCACGTGTGCGGATACCCCAAAGTCTATGGCAAATAGTTCTGGTAATCTCTCTCAGTTCCTTTTGCCACGTCCCCTTTTTCCCGACTTGCGCCACTCCAAATTTGTCGTGGAAAACAGCACCCTTCCCGATGGACGGTTACTCGGCATACGTGGCAAACGACCAAGCCATCAGTTGCACGCACACCCAGAAAAGACGATTTTTACCGATCTTTCCACATGGTCTCTTCGGAAGGAAGCTAGATTCATTTAATGCTGGTCCGGTACACACTGATTCTTAATCTCACGTCTTAATTCAATGAACTCTCCTTGTCTCAATCGCCGCCCTTATACTTCGCGTTCCCGAGTTTATCAAGTCCGTTTGGCACCAGAGCGACCCAGTTGTAACTCTTGTCTAAAGCAATACTCAAACTTCCGAAGGGAACCTCCGAGAGACAATACCTCCATTGACAAGACAATTCTCCAGGCTGTGGATGCTTGCCCATTCTCGGGAAGACAATCCCCTCGCCAGACATTAATACGAGAGGCTGATTTCCTTTCCACAATGCCATCGACCCGGACTGTCTAGTTCACCACCACTTCAGAGTGCTCGTCTGATGCACTTATCTGGCACACTGGCGAGATGGCTCGGTGGTTAGAGAGCGAATTTACTGACCTGAAGGTCCGTGGTTCGAACCCGACCTCTGCCTTTCGACTTCCCCTCTCTAGGGCAACCTGGCAGTATACCAGCCCTCGTGCTTCCTTCTGGTGGCTTGACGGTTGGGCACTGAAAGGATGCTACAGCTAAACGTCTCTTTGGCAGACTGTCTTCGTCTAAAGGTGACTAACCGATAATTTAACCATGGGCATACGCACACAAGGATCTCTTCGAGGGGACGTACTGTACAGATCAAACCAAATTGATCAAACGTCAAATTGTCGTGTGGAAATTATCCATGACTACGCATCGTTCAATGGAGAACTTTCAAAGTACTTCAACAACAGTCGGAAAACCTAAAAGATGTTTGGAAATTGTCAAAACCTGTGTTGTTTGACCACTTACGGTTTAGATAGGAAGGCGAAGGGTTCAGTTATGCCAGCCAGGAATTTTGTACGTTTCTGCCTTTAGTCTCTGCGTTCGGTTTTCACGAAAAACGGATAGAAATGAACGACAGACAGATGCAATCGATTGGTTTGCACTTTGTATCTTGATACGGTGTAGACAGGTTTTGATAACAACATGTTGTCGGACGAACGATAGCAATGGGTCGCACACAGTTGTCAAGCGTGAAGTAGGTCTCAACAATCGTGCATTCTTCGCTGTGATTGACCGAACGGATAATTACATTGCTATTCCGCATGACATCTCTTCAATATCTGCTTGAGCAATACGCGTTTACTCTAGATATCTAAACTTTTAAACCTATTCCTTGCAAATTAACTGGCTTTGCCAGTGTTCATAGTCTACTGGGATTGCCACACACATACGCATGCATCGGAGCTTTTCTATTTCCAACTGTCGTGATGGCCGCATCCCCAGGCAAGGCTTTCCCAACATACTGTCGCAGGTCGATGTAGAAGCCTAACTTACTCCTCTCACACTGTACTCGACCTGGGGACGCTTTAGAAACCCAGTTATCGGCTAAATGCGAAGAATTGCGGAGAATTTTCGTACTCCGGCCCAAAGTGTAGCTTTTTTCGATCGAACTGGCTAGCCATCATTGGTCCGTCTCTGAATCCTGTTTGTTAGGTTTTTCAAAGGATGCTGAATCCATTTCACCAACTGCGCCCTGCCTCACGAGATTTCCAGCTGTCTGTTTCAGAGCAAGCCTACGGTGCAGAAGCTCTGCCGTTGACATAAGTCTCCAAAACTCCTGTACCTGATCTTTCAGTTCCTTTCCATTCTTCATAAGGATGCTCTCTCTCGGTTGGGTGACAGTCAGGAATCAGTTTTTACCGCTGTCGATGATGATGTCCACTGCCTACATACAATCATTTCTCCCTTACTATGCGCTCCCATTCGCTTCTGTTTTTTGTGCACGACAGCTTAAAGCTCCAACATCCACTTTTGGTCAACCACGGAATCTGTGCTCTTGAGAAAATCTGCTCCCAAAATTGTCTGAGCTGATCAGAAACGCGTGCTGCACTAAATTGTCGCCTAGGCGTATTGAGTGCATTGACAACCCGTTAATTTTCAGTCGGTAGCCACCCACTGCTCTCACGGCTAGCGCGCACGGTATGCATTCAGCTTCGTTGCCTCCCCGCCTCAGCGATACCCCCGGTCTTGTATCAATCAAGCACAGCTCCCTCTTCCTGTCTATCTCGATAACGGCCTGTATGGTAGCCTGTGTCACTGCGCTAATCACATTCCACCCAGCAAAAGAGGAGTAAAGTTTTATTATTTACAAGTGGCTGGGTAGAACGACATGGATTCCTCCAGTGGACAGGCCTTTCACACTTGCAGCATCGGCTTATGCCTCCTCGATTCCGTCTTAATGGCTGCAAGCTAGTTGTTTTGTTCTTCAGGTCCTCCACTGGTGCTATTCTTAGGTGGCCATCAGACAGGCTGGAAACGTGTTGTTGAAAAATTGTGTTGACGTGGAGGGAAAGCGAAACTGCGAAGCTTTTATCGTGACCGTGCAAACACGCTCAGAAATGTATTGCGCTAGCGCAATCAACTAGGTCTCTCTGAACCGTGTAAAATTGGACTGTGCAAAAAGATGGAACCGTTAGGACGTTAGGTACAAAAAGCAACGAGCGGCGCAGACGGTATGCTATCCGGGTGGTCGAGTGTGGCCGTTCTCCACTCAATGAGACTAAGGTTCTTTTCACACATGTCTTGGATAAACAAGTCAGGTAACCAGGGCTCCAACATACAAAGATATTTTCGTGTAGACAAATTTTAACCCCCTAATCCTGTCTTGCTGACTTTTTGTTTTGGTGTGTAGGGAGCCGTGTGTGTCAACATATTCCAGCTTCGAGTGAGCTCGAGATGATAAC